GAACTACAAAGAATGAAAAAATTTAAAAATAAATAAATTATATACACATATATATATATTTTGCATCAGTCTGTATGAAACGACTAGGGAGTGGAGGTAGCAGGCTGCCAGTGCTGCAACCTGCAACTTTTTATATTTAAGCCCATGAATGTTTTAGAGGCGCAGGTGGAGTTGGGTTGGGGTTGTCGGGCTGGTGAGGTCAGTGTTCACCCAAACAGCCAGACTCTGCATCAGTCCACTCCGCCTGCCTCCGGGGCTGAGCTACCCCTGGCGTCTCCTTTCATTTCATCCCCGAGGCCACTCGAGCATGACCGAGCGTTTCCCCGAATCATGAGCAGAGTTGCTCTTTCTAGCAACAGCCACAGACACTAACAAGAGGAGAACATCCTTCATTATCTACTTTGTGCTTGCTCTGCTATTTTCATTTAAACATTAAAATGTTTGGTGTTTGTTCTGGCCACTTTTTCCAGTCTTTGCCTTTAGTTTTTGTCTAAATTGATTGCTTGATTTTATTTCTAAACCACAGCTGTCTGCATACTGTTATTTCTCCCATTGTTTGCTCTGCAGCATCATCTGTTAGACTGCTCTTCTTTTCTTCTCTAAATAAAATCTTTTTAATTTTCCTTCTGAATAAACCAGAGTGAAGTGAGAAATGATCATCTCCGGTGGCCGCAAAAGGAAGAGGGACCTCCGTGCCACCTTACTTCCCAATAAATCCCTGAGCTGTAAAAGCTGGCAGCGTCAACTTTAAAAAGCAGCGTGTTTAAGTCAAACTAAGGTGGATTAATTACACAGCTATCTCCAGTATCACGGCTATTTTTGCACTTTTCTTTTTCTATTTCACACATTTTTTTATGCGGTTTCAAGGGCAATCTCTGAACTTGTTTCTGTACTGTCTCTTCCCACTTTCATCTTTTCCGAGTCCACCTGTTTCATATTCCCCACCAGTGTCTTACTAAAAGAGCAACAAGAGCACAGGGGGTGGGGGTGGGGGGGGGGGGGGGGGGTGGTGAGACAGGAGGCCAGACAGTCAGAAACAGATGAAAGCCTGATAAAGGTAGAAGCTGCTCAGCCAGATCTCCTTTACTCACCACATTTCTCTGCCTTTCCAGAATCCTTAATCTTGTCTGTTAACAGCTTGGTGCTGATGCTGCTAGTCGTTCATGTGAATAAACATAAAGGTGGGCGATGCAGAGGGATGTGTTGGACCTCTATATTGCTTCCTTTGGGGTTTGTATCTGATTTAGCTCCTTTTCGAACCACTTGTGGAAATGATGCCGCTTTCAGTTGGCAGGTCTGGGATCAGGTGACAGGTTTGCTAAATTGTGGGAGGGGTGGATGGATGGATGGATGGATGGATGGATGGATGGATGGATGGATGGATGGATGGATGGATGGATGGATGGATGGATGGAATACATTAATGTTCCCTTATTTGTAGCGGCGTCTACCTTATAGACTCTTATTTTGACGGTCTGATTAGGATGTCTCAAATCAGTATCAGTGATCTTGATGAACAGACCACCTTACCTATGCTCTCCAATCTCTTTCACTTTGCACACATGATGGATTCATGAGAAAGAATGAAGTTTGTCAACACAATTGTATTCTCATATCTATTTTCTCTTTCATTTTTTTTATCCAGAGCTTAAAAATACTTCAAATCAATTTCAATACTTGTTCATGCTGCTTGTTCACCACTGAGGAGAAAAACAAGCTGATATCACCTGGTCTTCCATTTGAGGTTTTCTTATCATCTGAGGATCGAAATTTGAGCTTCAACAAGTTTCTCCCTTTTTTAAGTTTTCAAATTCCTTTTTTTTAAAGGCATATTCTACGACCCCCAGGAGTTGTCTGCATAGATCAGCCTCCTCTCAGACAAGTATGGCCTCTGAAGGCATGCGAGTCCTTGACTGCTAAAGCCGTGCCTGCTCAACTTTCGTTCACCAGCTGCATCAGCCACAGCCCTCTGTCATTCCCTCTTCTCAGCTCCTTCCACCACCGCCCTGCGTGCACCCGCCGTCTGCGGGGGCAGCACTTCTGACAGGGTGACTGCGGCTCTGCTGCCCTGAGTTGAGCTAAAATACCCCCAGGGACCCCAGTTACTCCAACCTCTGCACACACAGCAGTACAGCACCCAATGAGACAGCAGAGGCAGGGTCCACCCCTCCCTCCACAACCCCCCCACCCCCCGGCTCTCCTCGCCACCAAGCATTCCTCTCTGCGCGACACAGGAACATCTTATGCATTATTAAAAGACACTTTTCCTAAAAGGCTGCCAGCAGATTATTCTGCAACCACGGTGACATATCTGGAGACTGAAAATGTCCGCACAGTGGCCCTCAAGGATATGATCAGCCAGGTAGCTTCAGCCTGCTGACAGCGTCGTCAAGCGACAGGGATTTAAAGTCAGTAATATAAATCAGCTAACACTGATTTGAACAGCAATATCTGATTCCCTTCAAGATGTTGCTGTAAAGTTTAGCCCCTTGAGTTTATTTTTCAGGATGGGACAATAGCTATTAAAACATTTACACATAAATGGCTAATTTTCATTTGTACTCCCATAAGTGATGCTTTAAAATGCTTTAAATGCAGCACATCAGCTGCAATGATATGGGATAAACATGATTTAGACAATTGCAATGTCCATTTTTGGCTCAACTAAGAGCACGGGCAAATGATTTAGTTGAACAATAGAAGGAAATAAATAAAGTAAAAGTAATTACAGGGTTTATCAACAGCTTTCTATTCAGTTCCATATATGCCTGGTATTTTATCCATGCATCCATTAAAAGTAGCCAAGTATGACTTTTAATACTGTTTATAAAGCCAATCTTAAAATGTTAAATACAAGCTATTAAAGCTTGGCAGAGATATAGATATGCATTTTTGGATATGGGAAGCAACAGTGTGATCAGAGGTTTTACATAGAGTCACATGCTTACATGTCTTAAGTACATTTATTTAACATTTCATCTTCATTGTTATTTGTCTGGTAAATGATCACCGTACTGGTGGAGGATGAATTTATCATTAGTTTCACTTTATCCTTGGAGGAGCAATGTTACAAAACTGATATATTTTGCTTTACTTCAAATAAAAAACACCCCAATTCTGTTCTTGTAGTGTAAAGTTGGCCCTCTAGGGCCTCTGTCCTGCAGGTTTTAGAGGTTTCCCTGCTTCAGCATAGCTCATCTCCATGGATAGCTGATTAACAGCACTTTTGCAAAACTGCAATCATCAGATTGAGCTGTGCTGAAGCAGGGAAACATGGAAACCCTGCAGGACAGCAGCCAGGATTTTTTTTTTTAACATATTGGACTCCTTCTGCCATAAAAACAAGAATTGTTTCGATGAGAGTAGAAGGCCCCTTCTTAAAGAAACAAAATAGGGCTGAAATAAAAGAGAGTTTAATATATCTGCTTTGAATTAAGCAATAAACCTGAGCATATTTGAAGTGGTTTATTTTAAAAGAGGCTTGAAACATTGGTTATAACAAAACACAGGTTATATCAGGCTTTTCTTATGACACGTTGGAGTTAAGCTAATAAGTTTGGCCGAAATGTAACAATGCATTGCATAGCTTCCAAAAGGGGGCGCGTCCTTAAACGTTCAGAAGTAAAGATCCACAGTTTATTGCCATGTCTAAGTTTAATAATAAGCTCACCTAGAGTGGAGAAATCAACCAAAACACATCAGTTTTAATTTATTTAGATTACCTATTTGTTGTGGCCATAATTTAAAAACCCTATTAATTTGAACGGAATGCAAATAATTAGTAACCTTTTTAAAGTGTCAAACATGAACTGTAATCCGTCTTAACAAATGTGTTATATATATATATATATATATATATATATATATATATATATATATATATATATATATATATATATATATATATATATATATATATATATAGATTATATATTTAAATATATATATATATATATATATATATATATATATATATATATATATATAGATTATATATTTAAATATATATACAAGAATGTCTATTTTACTGGAATAAATCTGATATCTTTCAAAATTCTTTTTAAATGTTGAACATCAGTTTAAACAGGTTTTTGTTTTCTTTTGCTGTTATATTTATATATATATATATATGTATATTTTTTGATAATGCTAAAATCTAGTGTGAAAAGCTGTTCTTATAAAACTGACACACTTGTTATAAGGCATTAAGTACTCAAAGTAATGATGTAGAAAATAGCGATGTGGCCAAATGCTCCACTAGGGGGCGCATCGTTAAGTTTCTAAATATAATCTAATTTCCATAAGAATATGTTGATAGGCAATGCCACCTAAATAATGAGTTTACTCGTAAAAGAAAAAATGTGTTGAATATTTGTAATTTTTCTTTAACATATGAGTGCTTTTATGTTGTAATTTGATTTTTAAATTATTTCAAAATGTCGATTTAATTCAATTGCTATAAATTTCAGTCCCAAATTATTTTATTATGTAAAGCCCCTGAGCCAAAGATCGATAATTAACGTGAATTAATCATTTTTTATGATAACAGTAGAGGGTATGTCTCTTGAAAAAGTTAGTATAAAGGCCATAAACTGTTGTTTCTTAACAGCTTCTGCTGATGTCAACATTTGCATCAGGTCTTATTTTATGGGATCATCAGCAAATGTTAAAACTGAAACTATGAATGTTTGACTTCATTGATGCAAAGTCTGTTTATATAATTATGCAATAGCGATAAACCGAACAGCTTGATCCAAATGCAATACCGTAAATAGCGATGTAGGAAGAGCTTCCACAAGGGGGCGCATCCCAAAATGCCCCCAAAGAAACGACTGATTTCCAAATGTATTCCCACCTCCGCGAGTATTTGTCTGCTCAATATTCTACTCATTGGTGGAAGGGGGAATGCAGCAAAGCCTGAACATATCATCTTCTCATCACTCCACCTCCGTGTTGTTCTCAAATTCAACCCAAACTTCACGAACAAAGGAAGAACTTACATTTCTCACGTCCCTTGGTTAAAGTCCATTCTCTAGAAATGCTCAACGAGTTCAGAGCAGCGGGAATGAGCAGTGAAAGGAGAAACGAAGCTATTTTCTTTAAGGTGCGCTCCTCGGTGGGAATGTGATGAGTGCGCACGTAGGTCTCCGAGGAATCGTTGCGCGCACCATCCCCAGCTCACTCTTTTCCTTCCAATCTTTTTTTTTTTTTCCACCCTCCTGCCACTTCAAAATAAATGAGCGATCACCGTCCTGAGGGCTCGGTCAGCAGCGCGCCTTGTTGTTGAGACGGAGGGATTTCTGGACGAGAGCTGCAGGTGCCAAAGTGTCCATCATCCTCTCTCTCCCAAGTGGCGCTCCATCACCGCGTCAGGGAAGAAAGAATTAAAGAAATCCTACCACAGAGGAGGAAAGTTTGACCCGCTGGTGTAAAGATCCTTCTATTTTCATCCTACAAATAGATATCTGTCTCTCAGCTGGGGGTGCATGAAGCCCACCACTTATTATTCTCGACTGCTGAGGAGATCCGCATCTTCTCCCGGTCGCGTTTCCGTGGCACACCGAGCGCCCAGATAATGCGCTCCCGGGCTCACGCTCAGCGCACTCAGCTTTTTCCTTCTGGTTTCTCACACACACGCGCACACACACCTTTATGGTATTCATCCCCACCTCCTCCAGCTCGTCTTCAAACTGCAGCCACCACCGAGCCGCTCACATTTAGCATCAGCACCATTATTCTCTGTCGGGACCACGCAGAAACTCTAAAGGGAGGAGTTGAACCTCTTTTCACTAGACGCGTTAAGTGTCCCAAACGTTGCGCGCCCCAGCAGCCTCAAAGGAATTATATTGTTTAGAAAAAAGTCAAAAGTAGTAATTATAAAAGTAGCAGTAGACATCTGGATAATTTTACAACATCTTGGAGTTCGGATTACATCTGAAAAATATTTGTCTGAGCTATGATGGTAATCTAAAACGCATTTCCAGTAGGAGTGCGCAATAACTGATTTATTTGTTTAATACAAGAAAAAGAAGCAGGCTGGCAGAGATGTACCAATCAATTTGCCAACAACTGGATCTTTTCTGCTCTAATTTGTGATTAACAGTTCAAATAATACTGATTAAGTGCATCAAAGCTAACTTCCAACAGTTTTTTTTTTTTAGTCTGAGCGTTGGAAACTGATGTCATAAGGAAATACTGCATCCAAGCAAATAAATGGAAAGTTGGGTGGAAGGAAAACTTGGGCTGATATCATCTGACATCACATGGTTTTTTGAAATGTCATGGTCTTAAGTGAAATTTTGATTTTATCATGTAAGATCAGAAGGACATGGATGGTTAATTTCCCCGGTATGCTTATTTATTAATATGCATTATCCTTTTCTGTCCTTTATAGGAACAGTTTTCAGATATAAGTCAACCACTCATTACCCCGCCCTCAAATATCAACTGAGGAAATGTATAGGACCAATATAAGGATATTAGCAGCACTGCAAAATTGTGGATACATTACAAAGAGGCCCAGAAATAAACAACAACAAAATATTTTCAAATATATACTATTTTGGTATTTGTAACAAACATGTATTAAACCTTTTCTCATCATGTTATCATGCGTAAAGGAGCCTATGACTTAACTCCTCAGATATAGGAAATAGATATTTTCCTTAATGGATGAGAACGTTTCATCTTCAGAACATATCTAAAAAGTTTCCAATATCTTCCATCTTTGTTGTGCATGTGGAAACTTTTTTTCACAAGTTTTCCTGCATGTTTTACGTGTTGCTACATTTATGTGAAATGCACTCAGAGGCGAAAAACATTCAACATGTGGAGTCATGGATTCACATGGACGCCACATGCTTTCCCATCGATTTCATTAGGGAAATTTAATGTGGATCGATTGGACCAATACCAACACCCATATAATAAGGACAACTGATATAGTACCTATGTGTTATTTAGGTATGAGATGGTTCACATGTAGAGGTCTGATCAGGACCTTGTATTTTTTTTTTTAAAGTAATCTTTCCGAAAGCGCTCCTGCAGATTAATCTTTTGAGTTCATCATAATCAGAGTCTGTTTCTCTTCTTCTAGCTTCTCCAGCTCTTCCCAGATTCACACTTTAACTGATTATCACAGTGGGCGAGGCGGGTTGTGCCAAGAGGACTTGGGTCATGGCACTTAGCGCACGGGTTACAGTTTGACAACCCTCCTACACGTCTCGGTGTGTCGGAGGTCTCCCGTTAGGAGCTCAGTCTCTGTAAAATGCAGGTCAGGAAAATTGCTGAAGTTTCACCTGTGAGGTCCTCATTAGAATCAGAGGCATCAAAGAAACACCGAAAAGTGTACAAAGGAAAGGTGAGAGGGAACGGATTCTTTTACGCACAGATTCCACCTACGTGCGCCCTTGAAATAAACCGCTAGAGATGATAGAGGGTAAATAATAAATACATTCTAAAATATAAATTCTAATATTTGAAGCCTGTCTTCTAACTCGAGCGTCAAGATTTCATCTGATTTCTTACCAAGACGTTGGTTGTTTGTTCTCAGCACTGAAAAGGTGCAACCTGAAACTAAACCACACAAGCAGATAAAGAGCAAAGGAAAACAGATATCTCTTGCTCTTAAATCGTACTTTTCATTACAAACGACGCACAGGTTTTGGCCACCTACCCGGCGTGCGTCACAGCGGAGCTTCAAAAACTTTACGCGCCCCAGGCGTCTGCGCCAAGATTCATTACAAAATAATAGTCCTATCAATAAGTTGAATTGTTTGAGCCTCTTACCGTTGTTTTTTCAGTGCTTCTCTCCGTTCAGATCAGCCCTGTGGAGTGACCGGTTGCAGCCTAATAAATCCACTTTAAAGCGGGACATGTTTGCGCGGTGAGGCGCGTTGCAGCGGGGGCTGGGGTCCGTTGTTCCAGGGGTAAAATGGACAGCTCCCGGTAACCACAGTCAGGGCTCAACGGTGTAGAAAACCCTACGACGAAATATATTTTTTAGCAGGATGAAGCTGGCTAAAACATAAATAATAAAAAATAGTCCGGGTGGTTTCCTTGAAAGCGCCTCAGACACAGCAGCGAGCGGCCAGACGCGCTGCTCTCAGACACAATGAGGCGCTAAGGCTTTGACAATTGACTTTCACCTGAAGTCTAATTCTTCGCGGAAGCCCGTCCTCAGCAGTTGAACCCAACCACACAAACATCAAGTTAACACTAATTATGAATGAGTTGATGATGTTTCTCATCACTTATCGCTTTATTATGATCACAGTAAAGATCCTAGAGCGCGACAACAGAAGGTTATATTTCACAAGCATTTTGGATTTTTTTTTTATACCTTTGGAGGTTTTAAACAGATAGAAAACAACAAATAACCCTCTTTTTACAGACATCTGAATCTTTAATGGTTAAAATTAATGTTTAGCAACTTGTTCCAAGATTGACACGTTTATCGAACCTGATAATTGGCTTTAAAAGTATTCACACCTATTAATGGTTTTTCACCACATTATCACCTCAAACATTAATTGATTGATTGTTAGCCAAAAGAATATAGATTAAGTAGGGAAAAAAAGAGGAAATTTGATTTAATTGTATTTTACTAAAACATTTTTTAATAGTGCACTTGGGGTACATCATTCTACATTTGATACCCTGAAATAAACACAAATGCAACACGTTTTTTTTGTTTGTTTTTTAATTCTCTAAACTAGAGTCTCAGTGCGTCATTTAGCTGCACCAATCATTTTTCTGGAAGCCTTTTTTTCAACATTAATCAAGCAGTTTTTTTGAAGGCTTAGTTGGTTTGTTAAATAACGTGAGTGGTCAATAAAAGTCTAGACCACATGGTCATAGATATCTAAACAACATCTAGTTATAAAACAAATTCCAAGATTTTATCATCTCCGGTTGCACTGAAAATGAAATTATTTTAAAATTAAAGATATGGTTGTCCACTTAAACCAAACTGGAAAGGAGGATATTATCCAGAACAGCAGCCAGAAACCCTCCCTGTAACTCTGGAGGAGCCACAGAGAACCAGAGCTCAGGTGCTATTTCCTCAGGGCATAGTTTCAAATCTGGAATGCATGTAGTGGCTAGAAGACAAACACTTTTTTTTTTAAAGTCATAAGTCAACCAACATAAAAGGGAAAGTTGGAGCTCTGGACCAAATTTGAACTTTTGGTGCTTGAGAGCGTGTTGTGCTTCTGCACGCTGCACATTATTCAGAACGCACAATGGATGGAGCCACTCTAAAAAGGCAAAAAAAAACATGGTTAGACTAAGGTGGAGATTTTCCTTCCGAAAGGCAAACATCCTAATCTGAAAGCACCTGTCAGGATGGCCCAGTCAACGCCCAGAATGAAATCCCATTGAGCATCGGTGGCAAGACAATATGTACAAATGTTTGCCATTCAGTCTGACTAAGCTTGAGCAATTTTGCAAAGAAGAATGGATAAAATATTCAGTCCATTTATTGGGTCCAAAGCTGGTGCTACTAAGCAAAGTGGTTTATACGTATGCCAGTTCTTGATTTCTATTTGTAAAAATAAGTGAAAACAACTCAACCTTTCCTCTTTATTCTACAATGTTACACTACCTGCTGTGGGTGTATTGTATAAAATCCAAATAAAATTCTCAATATCTGTAATGTGGAAAATCCGTGAACGTTCTGTAGCTTATTTTTAAGGCATTCCAATAAGTGTTCATAAATGTGTCTAAATAAAAAAAACAAAACAATTTAAGCTCAGTAATGCTGCCGTCTATATGAGTACAGGTTCTATGTTAGGCTGTTATCAGTCAGTGTATTCTCATTATCAGTCCGTACAAAATCGTATGAAAGGTTATGCACCGTAATTTTGTACGTTTTGGAATTTTTTTTCGTGGTATTTCGTCGTATTTTTACGTCTTGCCTCGAGACAAGATATCCTTGCGCATGCGCATCTTACGCACCATTCAATAACATAGAATTTAACATACAATTAACCCTGACCCTAACCCTAAGATACAAAACAGCAAGCAACCTAGTGAGAGACATCAAGAAGTAGGTATTGCACTGTTTTTCCCAGTTTTACGTCCGTCCGCGGATCTGCTTTTTTCGTCTGTCTGGCTGTGCATGCGCACTGATCTGTTTTTTCGAGGAAAAACGTCCAAAACGTACGAAATACTGTGCATAACTTTTCGTAGGATTTCATACGAACTGATAATGAGAATATGTTGCATCAGTACGTACAGAAAAGAAGCCATTGCATGCAATTTGTTCTGATAAGCAAATCCGAAAATGTATCTTCAAAAACAGTTTTAAAAAAAGAAATGTCAGTTGTCATGTGTGGTGCATGAGATGAAGACTCCATAACACTTGACATAGGAAACAACTTTATAAGCAGACAAACTAATTTCTTTATCAGGGTCATTTCTAATGTGTGACCATCTTTTTTTTAAGCAACATGTGAGCCAAACAGACAGTCAGAAAGAAAGTGATTTATTGTCCCAAATCAGAGACCAAAGTACGCTAATGGCATCTCTTTGTTTTATGGCAGAGTTCAAATCTCACCTAATAAATCTTCAGAGCTACCTCTGTGATAGTGGAAAGGTTGAGGAAACAAGGTACAGACAACCTCATCCAGGGAGACGGCTCCTCACACAGCTGCCTCTCTCATTTTCCCCTCTCCTCTTTGAGCCCAAGGGCAACTCGCCTGGCATGAGCCTCTTTTTGTAATTCGCTCAGCGACAAGAAAGGAGAGAG